AAATTTGTAAAAACTAAAATTAAAAACCAAAAACTATAAAATAAATTTATATTTTTTTTATTAATGTTAAAATTTATTTTAAATAAATTTTTTATTTTTTTGTGTTTACTTTTGATTTTTAATAATTACAAAATTTGTAAAAACTAAAATTAAAAACCACAAACTATAACCTTAATTTATTGAGTTATTTTTGTACAATTTTTATTTTCTAAATAGAATTTATTTATAATATAATATTTTAGTTCATTAAAAAAGTTAATTGCTCAATAATATAAAAGTTTAAAATTCTAAATTTAATTTAAAATTAAAAAATTTAAAATAATAATAATAATTTAGCCAAACCCTTATTTATATTTATTTATAATATATTTTTAATCAAGTGACTCCCCTAGCCAATACTAGTGTAGTGTTGAGGACCTCTTGGTACTCGATCTTGCCCTACTTACAAGTTACTTGACTCATTTCAATGCCGGGACACAACTCGATATTGGCTCCACCACTAGGTTCGTCCACGCTCGGCCAACCTATTGTTTAAAAATTCATAAAATATTTGGTATTAAAATATATTGTTATGCACTACTTATTAGATTTGTGGCTATTTTTTTTATTAAAAAATATTTTTAATTTGAAAAAAAAGAAAGCATATTTGCCCGATTCTTAAAAAAATTAGAGTTTTAATATCAAATTATTTTGTTTTATTTAATTAAAAATCAATTTAAAATTTAAAAATTTATCTTATTAACGAAACTAACAAATAAAATTGAATTTAAATATCATATTTTCTATAAAAAAATACTTATAGATGCTAACAGTCAGTTAACAGAACTAACAGTCAGTTAACAGAACTAACAATCAACTATCAAAACTAACAATATGTTATAACTTGATATGAAGTGAGACTTATTTTCTTCAATTTGTATAAGTGAAAGACTAAAAATGTCATAATATAAGGTGATGAGTTAAAATTTATAAACTTATTAAAGTAAATGATTAAAAATATCATAATATAAGGTAATGAGATTAAAACCTAAAAATTTATTAAAATAAAAAGTTAAAAGTAAGTTTGTGCCCTTGAAATTGAGTGCAAGCTCCACGTTTCATTTACTAACTTGGAACAGAGCTTTTCTTTTCTTTTTGGGTTCACAAAATTCTATATGGTCGTTTAATTGCAGCAAACCCTTATGGGTGTTCATATTCCATTCAATTCAATTGACTTGATCCAAATTGATTCAATCCAATTACAAACCAAACCAAATTAATATAAAATTAAGTTGATTTAAATTATAAAATTTTGAAACTGGTATAATTGATTTAGTTTGTGATTTTGCCTTTAAATTGTGTAAACCACCTCATTACAAGATATTTAATTAAATAATATATATTTTTATAGTATTTAAAATTTTTTTTACTTGTTTCACAAGTTAATAACTTCATTAACTTAAGTAAAAAAAAAAAATAAAACATCTCCATATTTCCTAATTTATTTTTTCTTTTGAATCATGTACTCTAATATTTAATTCTAAATTTCTAATTCGCTTGACACTCTACTTTTTAGACCTGGTCTATGATTCTATTTTTAAAACCCTTAATTTCTAATTTGTTCTTAATTGATTTTT